AGATGAGGAGGAGGAGGAGCAGGAGGAGCAGGAGGAGGAGGAGGAAGAGGAGGAAGAGGAAGAGGATGAGGATGAAGATGAGGATGAAGATGCGGATGAGGATGATGTGGCGGGAAACTCGACTGGCAGCTCTCGCGGAGTTGTGGTGTTGTCGTGGGAGGCAATGCTCTTGATTGACAGTAGCCACCGCGTCTTGAGGTGGTGGTGGTTGGGGTCTGGCTGGGCAGAGTCTGAGTCGGCGCTCGAAAACATGTAGCAGGGCTGGGAGAAATGCCCTCAAACTCTCTTTGGGGACACGGAAGTTCATCGTGCCCGCCCCGTACGGATGTGCGCGGCGTTGAAGCTAGAACTAGATGCGTATGTTGAGAACGAGCAGCCCTCCCTTCCATCCTTGAAACTGCCCCGACATGTTTAGACGAATGAGACGAGAATGCGCGGCGTTAAGGCGAGAACCACGTATTGAAAACCACATGTCTTCCGTCCTTGAAGCTGTTGCAAACTTTCAAATGCGAATGTGCGCGGCGTCCAGGCGAGATCCACATTTGAAAACCACCCACCCTCCATCCGTGAAGATGCTGCAGCTTCCAAGCTTCAATATCATAATTTGTCAGGAAGTCTCAGGCGAAGCGTCTGGCCCGCCATACCGACACGTCTGGGGGTGTGCGACAGGGAGAAGTTATCTATAAAGAAAGGAATGGGGGGAGGAGGAGGAGGAGGAGGAGGAGGAGGAGGAGGAGGAAGAGGAGGAAGAGGAGGATGAGGACCAAACATTACCGAGGATGCATCAGCGATGCTGCATTACACCCGCCCGTCCCAAGTTCCCACCCCACAAGTCCCTAGAATACTTCCTCGTCACCACGAGCAGCACGCCCTGGAGGGACTACGGCTCAATGGGCTGGCTATTGTCAGGCGAGATAGGGGGGGTCCGGGCGGACGAAGGGGGGACTGGGCAAGGGTGGGTACGACATCTGCTGCACGCAGGTGGTTTCGTCTCCGCTTCCAGGCGCTTTTCTGGATGCTTTGGCGCCTCGGGCTCAGGGGGGCGCTGGGACAACTCGCTGCATGAGCTGGTTTGCTGCACCCCCCCCCCCCTATCCGCTCGACTCGAGAGGAGGAGCGAGGATGGGGGGGGTAGGACAGAGGAGGGATGAGCAAGCCAGGTGCGCTCGCGTCATATCCGACATCCTACGCCTCTCACCCATCCCCTTCTGTTGTGCTGATTTTTGCCTCTATCCGCCGACGGGTGTCCTAGCGGACTTGGATTTCTCGAAAGAGCACCGTCGTGTCATGCACAATCGGAAGTAGCGGACTTGGACTTCTCGAAAGAGCACCGTCGTGCCATGCACAATCAGAAGAGGGGAACTTTGTACATTAGAGGAGGAAGAGAAGGAAGAGGAGGAGGTGGAGGAGGATGAGATCGAGGAGGAAGGGTTCGAATCCAGAAATGAAGCCCGCGCTGGGGCGAGGGCGCCATGGCGAACGACAGGAGCAAAGCGTCGATCCCAAATTGAGACCCACGCTGCACCGCCAATAGCAGTGTGAAACACCGGAAGCACTCCGATTTTAACAACCGTATCAACTTGTGAAATCCGGAGCAGGGAGAGGGCGGGACATTCCAGCGGAGACACGGACATTGGAACCATAGAACGCATGCAATTACAGCGCGCGGAGAGGGCGACACGTAGTCGGGGGAGAGATGAGAGTAGTATTCGTATGGGGGAAGTGTAGAAGTGGAAAACAAGCTATGTGCACTCGCGCCATACGTGGTATCATATCTCTCCCTGCCTCGCAAGCCTTGCCATGGAGTTGAGTCCACGCTACTCGCAGAGCCGAGTGCCGAGGCAGACATGGATACCTCGAAGGGGCAACTTTATGCAAGAGGGCTCCGGAGCTCAATGGATGGGAGGGGCATGAAAGGATGCGGAGGAGGGGATCACCACCCACCAACCCACCCCAACCCAACCCGAAGGCCCCGATGTGCCCTCCATTCCCAGTGGGGGGGTCGGGGAACATTGAAAAAGCACATATGGAACCCGTACCCCCCCCCAACCCGAAATTTGGGTCTTCGGGTCGGGTTGGGGTGGTCTGGTAGGCAGTCAGCGGAGGAGGGAGGAGGAGCGTTGGCGGACGGGGCAGGAGGTTGGACTGAGGAGGGCGGCCTCGCCCCGCGGATCGGCCACCGCGGGCCTGTGCTGGGCACATCGGGCCGTGCCCGCGCCATCCCGGCAGACTTCGCACACGAGCTGCTCCTGCACCGCAGCTGATCGGCCCCGCCCGACGGCATTGGGCTTCTCAGAGGAGGAAAAGGTACCCATAACATCTGCCCTTCCCTCCTTTTCGCCTTTCTGGGCCTCCTGGGAGGCCCTCGTCGCCACCGCTGGATTCGCCTCGAAGTCCTGGCCAGAACACAAACCCGGGAGAGGTCCCGGGGAGCAGCGGACATCTCACGCGGGGCCTTGCACGGCGCTCCCGAGGAATTGCCACCCTGCCTTTGCACGGCTGCTCCCATGGCCATTCTATTAGGGGGCCACATGCGAACCCTACCCCTACCCCCCACGATTTCTGAGGGGGAGGGTGGGGTTCACCTCGTTCGGGAGCTCCCGAGCGAAGTGAACCTCACCCTCCCCCTCAGAAATCGTGGGGGGTAGGGGTAGGGTTCGCATGTGGCCCCCTTATCCGTGCACGAGCTGATCCCAGCGTTGCAGTTGGTGGCGTTCGCCCCTGCACTTCCACTTCTCGCATGCCTCGGCCTGTTGCCACGGCTCGCCATTCTCGCAGGAGCTGATACCGACGGCGTAGCCGAGGACTCATTTGCGTCCGCTTCCCGTCAGAGGTGGTCCCTGCCGTGTGGTTGGTGTCCCGCTCCTACGGTCGCCGTTCTCGCAGTGCCAGATGCGGCCACTGTGCGCCTTCTTGCAAGAGCTGCTGATCGCCGTTTCTCACCTCGACCTCATCTCCGCATTGGGGTTGACGACGTCTGCTCTTACGCACTCCCTCTCCCGCCTCCACCCTGATCCCCGCCATTCGGCAGGGGTCGTGGGGCGGGCCTGGCTCCACTTCACGCCCAACCACCTCTCGCCCGTCTCGCAATGGCGGTGTGCCCGCACGCCCTGATCTCAGCGTTGCAGCTGATGGCATCGTGCTTGCGCTTCGCCTTCAACCTCGCGTCGTTTGCTGATACCCTTCTCTCACGGGCTGTTCTCAGCGTTGTAGCTGATGTGTCGTCCGCTCTACGACACTGGGCTCCAGCTTTGCCCCCCGCTTTTCGCAGAATGACGCTTGAGCCGCCTGCCGCCCTTCGCCCTCGTGCGCCCCGATGCCAGCGTCGTAGCTGATGACTGCGGGCTTGCGCTTCGCCTTTATCCTCGCGGATTGGCGACTGAGGTTGCTGTCACTGCTCTGCCTTCTCGTATGCACGAGCTGGCCCCAGCCCCGTAGCTGATGACGTTGACCCGCGCGGGCTCTCGCGCGGCTCGCCTGGGGGGAGGGGGCCGCCAGCCGCAGCCGCTCTCTGCCTGCACTCGTGCAGCTGCGCCCCTGCGGCCGGCGCTGATGCTCGTCAGGGTGACGAGGGAGTGGGGAGAGAGGGACAGGAGGAGGGGCGGGAGGAGGGCGCGGGTCCTTGCGGCTGCACGTGTGCCTGGTCTCAGCATGGCAGCTGATGGCGTTGGGCTCCAGGTTTCTTCACGACGGCTCCTGATCGCATTGCCACTTCGAAGTTTGCGTTGGAGAACACGCTCTCGCGCCCCGTGCAAAGGGGGGCCGCTTTGGGGCAAAATGGCTAGGAGGAGGAGGGGGATGAAGAAGACAAGGTGGAGAAGGAGGATGAGGAGAAGGAGGAGGATTGTAGTATGGCGGTGATGCCCTTGAGGGTAGGCATAACCCTGTAAAGTCGGATGGGGCACATGGGCTCACCCTCCCTTGGAACGGTGGCCCAGGGTACAAGGACCGTTGCAGGCACGCGGTGTGACTGTCTATGTCTTCCTCACCTCCTGCCGACTTGGAAGAGGCGGCGGAGTGAGGACGCCAAGGAAATGACTCAGGGACACTCAGACAGGAGGAGGAGGAGGAGGAGGAGGAGGAGGAGGAGGAGGAGGACGAGGAGGACGAGGAGAATAAGGAGGAGGAGGAGGAGGAGGAGGAGGAGGAGGAGGAGGATAATCGCGACGCAGACGGAAGTGGGGCGATGCCGTCGCCGCCGATCTCTGCTACAGAGAAGGACACGGGCCATTTGGGGGGCTTTGGGGGCACGGAGGCTCCCTGTGGAAATCGCTTCATGTGGCAAGCGCTGCAACGGGAATTGCATTTTTGCCAATGCAGGAACACGGCTGGCGCCGCGGCGACAACCTCGTTCGAGTGGGATGAAATTTAAATCACGTCCCGAAACGTTGCAAAAGCTTCAGCGGGATCACCCCTGCCCTTCTGCTGATGCAAGGATACAGCCAGCGCTGTGAGCGACGTTCCATTGGATGGAGGCTAGAGGCTTTCTGGAAATAGTTGGAACTGGCTAGCGCAGCAATCAGAGTACAACTTCGGAGAAGTCGAGGACGTTCTGGTTAAACCAATCCTGCGTGTGAGAGAACAACGTACGGGATAGGCGGGGCAAACTCAGACAGTTCCAGGGACGAGAGAATCGTATTCATATTTGTGAAGAACGGGGAGGGGTGGGGGGAGTTATGTGCGCTCGCGCCACATCAGTGCATCCGCCCGTTAGGGTGTCCTAGGGGACTTTGGCCCCCACGTGGCAATTGTAGGTTCTGGTCCATGGTTGGTTTTTGCAATCGTTTATTAGAGGATGCCCTCCCAAAATTCTGTGTCCAGTCGGAATTCCCACACACCCCCTTGAGCGGCGCGCACACGGAGGTGGCGCGAGGGGGATTGCCTTCTAAAAAGGCGCGGTGCTTCTTAGAACGCGAGGGCCTCCTGAGAAACACCCCACCCTCTTACAAGGCCACCCCGCTCGCGCCACCCCGTCGTGTGCACCGCCAGCCCCTTCTGAGGGGTCCGCGCCCGGCTACGGCGCTGCGGCCGACTGGTGGTCCCTGGGCGTGGTGATGTACGAGATGCTGACCGGGGAGCCGCCCTTCGGCCACCACGACGACGTCCACCTATAGACATGGTGGTCCCGCGCCTCTCCAGACTCCCCTCCCAGACCGCGAGGTTTTGGATGCTTCTCCTTCCTTGTGGGGACCCTCGGGCAGCTTCTCGCCGCCGTGGCTGGATTCTCTTGGGATGCCGACCGGGGAGCGCCTCTGAACAGGTCCTGGGTGCCGTTCTGAGGCCCGAAGGCAAAGTCAACTCTATCATTTTCGACGTCGTGGGACCTGTCTCGATCCTGGACCATAACGGACCAGCCGAGGGCTAGAGACGGGTCTTGCCACGGGCCGGGGAAGGGCACGAGAGCGCCCGGGGCCCTTCAACAAACAAGGACGGGCCGCCCACCCCGCACGAGACGCTATCATGCCACATTTCGCTGACGTGTGCTGTGGAGCAACCATCTTGGGCAAAGCTACGTTGGAGGTCTGGGCTTCTGGCGGCGCCCAGGAGGGGTCTGGTCAGGTGGGCTCCCAGGAATCTCTTCGCATCTTGAGGCGTTGCGCGGCGTGCGGCTTTCGAGTGCCCCTGCAGTGGAGGCCAGTCCAGAAGAAACCTTCCAAAAGAAACCCAACCCTCAGACCCCAGGACGTCCATGGATGTTTGGTGTGGCGTCACGCTTCCCAGTGCAGAACCATTGAAACGCAAAAATACCCAGGGCACCCTGGAAGCAAGCAGGGTGTTTCCTGGCATGGGTCTGCACTGCACTGAACGACTCCAGCTTGTCTTCTTGGAAGGCTGCTCTCCTCGCTGCTCCCCTCGACCCGTCCTCCGTTGTGCCCGTCGTCAACTCCTCCTCCTCCGCCTCCTCCTCCTCCTCCTCCCTTCTCCTCCTCCTCCCTTCTCCTCCTCCTCCTCCTCCTCCTCCTCCTCCTCCTCCTCCTCCTCCTCCTCCTCCTCCTCCTCCTCCTCCTCCTCCTCCTCCTCCCCCTCCCAAGGGGAAAACCGTGCAGGTCTGGCTGTGGGTTGGTGTTGTGCTCAGGGGTTCTCGGAAGCCACAAGACCACCCGCCCCCCCCCCAGCCAGGATCCGGTCGGGAGTGGGGGCCCTGGCTGGGTTTGGGGGCGGGCCGCGCTGTCCTCGATGGCTCTCGTCGCCCCGCCGGGGCCCCGCGGCCCGCTCCGCGCGACGCCAGTCGGAGAGGAGCGCCCTCTGGGCACGCGCGTCCAAGAACTTCACGCTCTGAGCGTGCGCCCCCCCCCCCCCCTGACCTTCCAGATAGTTGTTTTTATAGCACTGGAGGCCTGAAAACCTTAAAAACCTAGCGAAACAGTCTAAAACCAAGATTTCGAATAGCTTTGGGACAGGTTCTCACGTCGAGTGTTATTTTTTAGCCCTCCTGGAAGGTCAGGGCCCCGTTCCCCTAGGCCTACCCCTAGGCCTACCACCTAGGCCTACCCTAGGCCTACCCCTAGGCCTACCCCCTAGGCCTACCCTAGGCCTGCCCCTTGGCCTTCCCCCTAGGCCTACCCTCCCCCGCCAGTCAGAGAGGGGCGCGGCCTCCATGGGACCCGGAGGGCCGCGAGATGCTGCGCAAGCAGGCGGCCGCCGCCTCGTCCGGGCTGCCGTGGCCGCCCGCGGCCGGCGCGGGCGCGGGGGCGCGGGCCGCGGTGGGGGCGCTGCTGCGCGTGGATCCGGCAGGGCGCCTGGGAGCCAGCCGAGGCCCGCGGGCATCGGGGGCCCCCCATCGAGGCCTCCTCCTCCGCCTCCCCCTCCTCGTCCTCCGCCTCCCCCTCCTCCTCCTCCTCCTCCTCCTCCTCCTCCTCCTCCGCCTCCTCCCCCTCCTCCTCCTCCTCCTCCTCCTCCTCCTCCTCCTCCTCCTCCTCCTCCTCCTCCGCCTCCTCCCCTTCCTCCTGGGCATCGCTCGGGCGCGTGCGTTGTCCTCGGCGAGGCCCGCGCCGGAAGATCTGGACCATCTGTAAGGGCGTCTCGGATCATCCTGGGCCAATGTAGACTCACGAAGTCGAACAACGGGAATGGACGTCCGAGCGATGGCAAGCCTCGTCCCCAGAGTTTTCGGATGTTTTCGAGCCCCGAGGTGGTTTCCATCTGCTGTGCCTCGTCGAGGGCGTTTCGGGGGTGCCCGGGATCTTCCCGAACAGCCGCAACAAGCCCGAGTCACGACCCGAACATTAGACGAGCTGCAGGTCCGAGTAGATGGGGTCGGAGGATCGCGCCGCTTCGCCGATGCAGCGCCGATGCATCAGCGATGCAGCTCGATGTGGAGCCCGATCTTCTCAACGCCGAAGCCGCCGATGCATCGCCGATGTTGCCGATGCATCGCCGATGCATCGGGATGCATCTGCGATACATCGACCATGCGGTGCAATCGTCCGACTCCGTCTACTCGGACCCCATCTGGGAGGCCTCGTCCCAATCGACGCGGTGACCACACCGTGTGGTGAGTCAGACATCCTACGTATTGACAAAATCAAGGGGGAAGTTTTTTGTCGTTTTCGGTCTGGGATCCTCGCCATGCCCCAGGACCGTCGAAACACGACCCCCGATGGAATGTCGGCCCTGGAGAGAGGGTCGGGGCTTCTGGGTACCGCGTGTTGGAAAATCTGATGGGCCTGTTTTCCACCACCACCACGATAAGTTGGATGGGGGGAAGGAGGAGGAGGAGGAGGAGGAGGAGGAGGAGGAGGAGGAGGAGGAGGAGGACGACGAAGAGGAGGAGGGGGACGAGGAGGACGAGGAGGAGGAGGAGGAGGAGGAGGAGGAGGAGGAGGAGGAGGAGGAGGAGGAGGAGGAGGAGTAGGAGGAGGACTCCTTCCCCCTCAAACTTATGCTGGTGGTGGTGGAAAACAGGCCCATCAAAGTCAGGGCATCGCATGCCTTGGGTGACCGCACCGCGCGGCGAGTCACTGGAGGTTCGGGGCTGCCGCTCGGCTTCAGCGGCCTCGGGCGGCTCGGGCGGCTCGGGCGGCTGGGGACCCCCCCCCCCCGGGCCCCAGGAGACCGGGCGGGGTGGCGGATCCGTGCGGTGAGGTCCTTCGGGGGTCTCCCAGGTCGCCGCGCGGCCTGTCGCCGCACCGTCCTCGGATCCCAGAGGAGAGGGGGACTCGGAGCCCGATGAACCTCCTACCCTGACGCGTCGATGGGCGAATGGGCCGTTCTCGGCTCGCGAGGGGGCGCCGCGGCCGTCGCTGTTGCGGGGCCAGGTCCGTCGGTCTCGGTCCCGGGCCGTTGCCGCTACAGGGTGGTTTGCGAAAGGGAGCTTTGTCCACCGCCGAGGGGCGGAGGACGCCAAGATCTGCTTCTTCAGCGGCGGCACCTCACGTTCGGGGTTGCGGGCCGCGGGTCCGCTGCGTGGGCTCGTCGCGGCCGCGTCCTGCCTCCGCACTGTCGGGGCCCCGTGGCGCGCTCTCTGCACGCTGGGCGCGGCGGGGGCCCCTCAGAGGGGGGGGGAGGGGGCTCCCCTCGTTGCCCTGAGTCGAGGGAGGAAAAACCACCCGGACCAGGCAGTTGGCGTTTACTACAGTCAACGCGCCTAGTAAGGACGCGCGCCTTCATCTAGGATGCCCTTGCGTCCTTGCCTCTGTGGCCCGTCCTTTGCAGTTTGCACTGGTCGCCGCCGCCCAAAAAAAATCCCAACTTCAGCCTCCAAGGGTCTGGCGTCTTTACCACGCGTCCTTATTATACGTTTTGACTGTAAACGGCCCTGGGCGTTTGCTAAACAGCCCTGCCCTGTTCGATTCCTTCTTTGGGCGCGTTCACTCAACGACTTCGCGTGTCGGGGTGGTCATTCTGGGGGTGGACTTTGAGACTTCAATTGGGGGCTCCTTTGGCGGAGCCTGGGCTGCGCACCCAGACAGGCGATGTCTTGATGTTTGTCACGCACATCGACAAGGTGTTGGCACTGCCACCCACACGCGTCGCATGTTTCACCCCAGGATTGGCCAGCGATCGATGTTTCAAGGCCCGGCCCTTTCCCCCAGGGCCCCTTACGTTACCCCCAGCCGTTTGTTCATGGTCCTCGGGCCCGGCGAGGGCCTTCGGAGCCCCAAACCTGGCAAACTCTGCCCGTCGTTCTTTTGATGTTAACTGCCACAATTCTAAGAACAGACAAATGCATCAACATAAATGTTCGGAGGTCCTCGCGGATTTCTTGGATCGGCGCTGGGCCCCCCTCTCTGGCTCGCGGAGCGCGCCAGGGGCGGCGATGGAGTCGCCGGCAGGACATTGTGGTTAATAGTACCGGCCACTCTATCACTACTACTACTACTACTACTACTACTACCACTACTACTACTACTACTACTACTACTACTACTACAACTACTACTACTACTAGAACTACTACTAGAACTACTACTATTACAACAACTACAACTACAATTACTACTACTACTACTACTACTACTACGACTACTACTACTACGACGACTACTACTACTACTACTACTACTACTACTACTACTACAACTACTACTACTACTACTACTACTACCACTCCATTACTACCACCACCACTACTACTACTACGACTACCACTACTACTACCACTACTTCTACTACTACTACTACTACTACTAATACTACTACTACTACTACTACTACTACTACTACTACTACTACTACTACTACTATCTTTTACTGTTATTACTACTACTATCACTACTATCACTACTACTACTACTACTACTACTACTACTACTACTACTACTACTACTACTACTACTACTACCTATACCTACTACTACTACTACTACTACAACTACTACTACTATCACTACTACTACTACTACTACTACTACTCCTACTACTACTACCACGACTACTATCACGACAACTACTACTGCTACTACTACTACTACTCCTATTATACTAGTACTACTACTAGTACTAGCACTACTACTATTACTACTACTACTCCTACTACGACGACGACTACCACTACTACTACTACTACTATTGCTACTGCTACTGTAACTGCTACTTCTACTGCTACTGCTACTGCTACTGCTACTTCTACAACAACACCTACCAGTACTACTACTGCTTACGACATCTACTACTACTACCACTACTACCACCACCACCACCACCACCACCACCACCACCACTACTACTACTACTACTACTACTACTACTACTACTACTACTACTACTACTACTACGACTACTACGACTACTACAGCTAATATGATGACTACAACAACTACTACTACTGCTCCTCCTCCTCCTACTGCTACAACTACTACTATGACGACGACGACGACTACTACGACTCCAACTACTACGATTAGTATTAGCACTACTAGTCGTAGAACTACGATTACTACCACTATTACCACGAATAGTACAATTAGTTTTGGGACTATTACGACGACTACTACTACTACTACTACTACTATTACTACTGCTAGTTTTACTAATATTACTATTAGTACTACTACTTCTACTATTACACTTATTACTACTATCACTACTACTACCACCACGATTACCACGACTACTACCACTACTACTACTACTAACCACCATAACTACTACTACTACTGGTACTACTATTTTTTTTGCTATTGCTACGGCCACTACTACTACACGTCTGTTGCTCCAATATTTCCTTTTACTGCTGCTACTTCTTCTACTCCGACTACTACAATTACTATTACTACTGCGACTACGATTATGACTACAATTACGATTACTGCAACTACAACTACAGTTACAACAACTACTACTACTACAACTACTACAACTACTATTACTGCTACTACTCCTACTCCTACTACTACTACTACTACTATGACTACTACTACTACTATGACTACGACTACGACTACTACTACCACTATTACCACTCTTACTACTACTACTACTACTACTACTACTACTACTACTACTACTACTACTACTACTACTACTACTACTACTACTACTACTACTACTACTACTACTACTACTACTACTACTACTACTACTACTACTACTACTACTACTACTACTACTACTACTACTACTACTACTACTACTACTACTACTACTACTACTACTACTACTACTACTACTACTACTGCTACTGCTACTGCTACTGCTTCTACTGCTACTACTGCTACTACTGCTACTACTACCACCACTTCTGTTACGGTTACTGGATTATGGTTAAAGCTGAGCCCTGGTAGGGTTGACTTCGAGCTTGATCTAGCTGTAGTAGGCAGATAAGTTGGATCGAACTGTCGTAGGATTCGATTAGAGCTGGGTCGAGCTTCAGTGGGATTCTATCAGAGTTGGATGCGGCTCGGTTAAGATATCATTAAGGTTGGATTGAGCTACAGTCGGATTCTATGTGGATCGAGCTTTGGTAAGATTAAAGCAAAGCTGGGTCCAGATCCAGTAGGTCTCTACTCGAGTTCGGTCGAACCCGACTAGGAAGCCATTAGAGTTGGATCCTTACACGGGGCGATTCTGTGAGAGTTTGATCAAGCACGAATGGGATTCTATAAGGGGGGCGCCCACCCCCTTCACTTCGACCCCCCCCCCTCTCCTTGGACGGGCAGGGGTGCCTGTTCGAGCCCTGAAGCCGCCAGCTGCCCCCTCGGGGCTTCTTGCTGATCGGGCAGCCCGTTCTTGGACCCCTCCTGGCGCCTCTCGCGTGGCCGCTCCTGGACGGGGTCACGTCTGGGGGCTTCCCGGCGCCCTCCTGGAGCCAACGTCAGCACGGACTAGGGGGGGGTGGATCTCATGGCGTGGGCCATGATATTTCCTTAGACTTCAAGGCGCCTCTTCTCATAGGTCATTCCGTCCCTGGCCCCCCCTTGGGCCGCGCAGGTGCCGCCGGCCATGATCTGCGCCCCCCCCCCTTGGACGCCCCACTCTTGGCCGCCCCCGAGAGAGCGGCCGCCGCTCGCGAGTGCCTCCGGGTCCCCCTCCCCACCGCCTTCAGGGGCAACGATAGGCGGGGGGATAGGCATAGGGTCAGGTGGGGGCTGTCCCCCTACAGGGGGATTTTGGACGACAAATAAAAGATAGTCAAAGAATGTTCAAAACTAGTCCAAAAATCATCCCCAGACTTTTTTTTGACTATTCTTGATTTTTCCTCCTGTAGAGGGACATGCCCGACTTTAGCAAAGGGGGGGATGCGTCGACCCCCAATCGCCCCTTCATCGCCGACGGGGGGCCGTTGGCCCCACCCCGCCCAGGAAGGTGCGGAGTCGCCCTCGGGGGCCTACATCGCCGATCTGATCTGTATCGGCGGTGTGGCGCCGATTCCAGGTCGATGCCTCCCCCCCCATGCCTTGCCCATCCTATCTCGGTGGCGAGCCCAGGGGTGAAGTGAGAAGGGGCGGGCCTTCTCAGAAGGCTCGGAAGTCCACCGGCCGTCCAGGAAGTCTTCTAAGCCGTCCCTGAAGACACAAGAAGCTTCTCAGAAGGCGCGAGGGCTTCTGAGAAATCCCGCCGCCTTCGGAGAAGGCCTTCTCCTTCTGATGTACCCCTGGGCGCGCCACCGAATTTGGTTTTTGGGTCATAACTCAGATCTCCGGCGTCCGTTCGGGACGACCCAGGCACCCCCAGACCGCTCTCGGCGAGGCACAGCCGCTGGAACGCATCCCGACAGTTAAAGAATCGCCGAGAACCGACGAAAGCGCTCGAAAACCTCGAACCTCGAAAACGCCTGAAGACGCATCGCTCGTACCCCCTATCGCTGCCGTTCCCCCTGCCTTATGATGTTCCAACCCACTTCAGCCTTGATTACCAGAAATAACTTCGAGCACTACGAAAGCACCGAAGCCTGAGGGTTTTCACGTGTGTTGGGCCCTGGGAGGCGATACTCGTTCGACACTGTCTCGATACTTTTCTGGGCGCTCGAAATTATTTCTGGGATGTGGTCCTTAAGTGCGATCTGAGCAAAATCAGCCTGGGAACGCTCGTGCATCGAGCCAACGCGCCTGGCGGCAGGCGGTCGGTTTCCCCCGGGGCCGTAGGCGACCCGAGGAGGGGAGGGCAAGGAGGGGTAGGGGAGGGAGAGGGAGCAGGAGGAGGAGGAGGAAGAGGAGGAGGAGGAGGAGGAGGACGAGGAGGAGGAGGAGGAGGAGCAGGAGGAGGCGAGAGAGGAGAGGAGGACGAGGACGAGGATGAGGAGGGAGGAGGACGAGGAGGAGGAGGGAGGAGAAGGAGGATGAGAGGAGGAGGAGGACGAGGAGAGGAGGAGGAGGAGAAAGAGGAGGAGGAGAGGAGAGCGGAGGCGGAGGCCGGAGGCACGGACGAGAGAGGACGGAGGCGGAGGAGGAGGAGGAGGACGAGGAGGAGGAGGAGGAGGACGACGACGGGTCGCCTAAGCCCTGCCGAGGCGTGGACGAGATCAGGGCGCACGACTTCTTCGCACGGGAGGACTGGCAGGCCGTCGCCTCGGCGGAGGCGCCAGGCCCTCCCTTCGACGAGTCGCTGGGCCACACGCTGGCGCTCCGGGGGGCCGCCCTCTCCTCGTCCTCGCCGTGCTCCTCGCCATCCTCGTCGGCCGTCCTCCTGCTCCTCCTGCTCCTCCTGCTCCTCCTCCTCCTCCTTCTCGTCGGCCGTCCTCCTCGTCCTCCTCCTCCTCCTCCTCCTCATCCTTATCCTCATCCTCATCCTCCTCTTCCGCCTCGTCTTCCTCCTCGTCCGCGTCCTCCTCCTCCTCCTCCCCCTCCTTCTCCTCCTCGTCCTCCTCCTCCTCGTCCTCCTCCTCCTCCTGCCTCCTCCTCCTCTTCCTCCTCTTCCTCCTCCTCCTCCTCGTCCTCCTCCTCCCTCCTTCTTCTCCCTCCTCCTCCTCCTCCTTCTTCTCCCCGTCCTCCTCCTCCTCCTCCTCCTCCTCCTCCCTCCTCTCCTGCCTCCTCCTCCTCCTCCTTCCTCCTCTCCTCCCTCCTCCTCCTCCTCCTCGTCCTCCTCCTGCTCCTCGTCCTCCTCCTCTCCTCCTCCTCCTCCTCCTCCTCTCCTCCTTCTTCTCCTCGTCCTCCCCCTCCTCCTCCTCTCCTCCTCCTCCTCCTCCTCCTCCTCCTCTTCGTCCTCCTCCTCCTCGTCCTCCTCCTCCTCCTCTCCAGGCGTTGCTCCTCCCCGTCCGCGAAAATTTTGGAAGTGTTCGAGTTCTGGGGGGGGTCATCTGCTGCGCCCCGTCGACAACGTTTCGGGGGTCCCCGAAGTTTCCGGAAGTTGTTTCTCAGTCCTGGGTTGTTTTCCCACCTGCTGCGCCTCGTCAAGAGCCTTCCTGGGGTGCCAGGCTCGTCCCGAACGGCCGCTGGAAGCCCGAGCCACGACCCGACAATCGGAAGGCGCGCGGGACCGAGTAGACGGCGTCGGAAACTCGCGCCGCACTGCTGGTACATCGGCGATGCAGCTCGAGGTGGAGCCTGCTTCTCTCCACGCCGGCGCTGCCGATGCAGCGGCGATGCCGGCGCGACCCGCCGGCCCCGGTGCCTTCGATTCCACGTGTTGGGCGTGCCCAGGCCTTGACCGTCCAGAGAGCTATTTGTTAGCACGGGATTCCAGCAGAAACAAAAACATTGAACGAAACATCCGAAAACCAAGACGCAGAGTAGCTTTGAGATAGGTTTTTAGGTCTGGTGCTATTCTTTCACCCCTCCTGGAAGGTCAGGGGAGGGGGGCGGCACGAGGGGGGCGGCCTCCTGAGAAGGCGGAGGGGCTTCTCAGAAGCTCCGGGCCTTCTCAGAAGGCCCTGGGGCCTCCCAGGAGGTCCTCGCGAAAGCCCTGGCTGACTTCTGAAAAGCTTCCCCCCCCTGCCCTCCTCCGCAGCCTCGCCGCCTGCTCAGCAGCTCCCCCCCCTCGCGGCGCTCGCGCCCACGGGCGTCCGCTGCCTCGGCTTTGCCCAGCGCGGTTCCTTAAGGACGTCCCGGCCCCGTTACCCGGGCCGGCCTCTCATCCCTGGGTCCTTCTTACGACGGGCCTCGGGGCCCGCCGAGGGCGCCCGGAGGCGGAGTGCGGACGGCCGAGAGCCTGCCCATGGCTGGGCGAAGGCCGACAGCAACTCCAGTCCACCGTGACCAGGATACACCGCAGGGCTCGTTTCGATCCCTTCGATGCGATTCGATTTCGACTTCGTTGGCTTCCGATTCCGATTCGATTCTGCTTCGGATTCCGATTTGGACTCCTATTCCTCATTGGAGGCCTACTAGCCCGCCGATTTCCGCCGATTCGATTTTTCCCGACTCGGCTGCCGATTTCGGCCGATCCGATTCGTTTCGATCGCAGATCCGACTTCTCGATTCGATTCTGGGCTCTCCTGCACTGTCAGTGTCGCTGCGGACGTTGTTGGATCCGTTCGAGGCAGGAGGCCGCCTGCCCGGAAGCGGGTGCTGTCGGTTGGGGACGACAGGTGCTGTGAGGCATCGTGCTACTTCCTCCGTACCCCTCTCGGGCGTCCAGATCTGGGCGCCCGAACCTTCGGGCGTCCACTCGGCGGTGTGGGTGCCGCAAGCATTTTGCCGGCCGCCGGTCGCAGGAGATCTCTCGCCTCCATCTAGGCCTCCTAGATGGGGTCGGAGTAGATGGGGTCGAAAGATCTCGCCGCATCGTCGATGCATCGCCGATGCATCGGCGATGCGGCTCGATGTGGGGCCCGATTTGCTCCACGCCGAAGTCGCGGACATATCGCCGACGTCGCCAGTGCATGGCCGATGCATCGCCGATGCATCGGCGATGCGGCGAGATCTTTCGACCCCATCGACTTTGACCCCATCTAGGAGGCCTCTCGCCTCCAGCCCCCGACTCATCCACGACAGGAGAGGGAGGGGAGAGCTCGGGGATGCACCCCCATGGGGGCTGCTCGGACGCACCCCTACCGAGGATGACGCCCCCCGATCGTCTTTATCCCCGAATGTGACGAACGAACAGCACACACCCATACCCATAGGGGGGTCGTTGGGAGGAGGACTGGCTATGGGTATGGGTGCGGGTTGTCGGACCCTCGGGAACGCTCCCGTTCGAGCGGGGACCCCCATCCGACAACACGCACCCATAGCCCTCTCCGACCCCCCTATGGGTATGGCTGTGTGATGTTGGTTCGTCAGAATGGGGCCACAAATCGTGGGCCCATCCCACAACCAACGAGGCCAGGGTCAGGGGTCGACATATCTCCTGTGATCCGGCCACGCTTCGCTGCCGCTTCTCGCGAGGGCGAGGAGAATCCCTTCCAGAGCGTTCGGGAACGCTCTGGGAGCACTTCTGGGACGCTATGAGAAGGCCGCGGCGCCCGAGACATCGACCAGAGCCGCCGAACCTCAGAGATTCCAGGCGTATCCTCGCCCGACTTCATCCTCGTCGAGAGCGTTCTGGAAAGCTCTGGACCAGGATGCAACCGAGCCGTTCCAGAGCGTCCTGGAGCGCTGCCGGAGCGTCCTAATCATAGCTCTGCCTCGGCTTCGTCCTGGCTTCGTCCCGACTTCGCCCTCTAGCTTTAAGTCGGGCCTGTCCCCCTACAGGGAGATTTTCGACAAAAAATTATACATACCAACAAAATAGTCAAAAAATAATCCAGAAATAGTCTGGGGACTATTTTTTGAGTATGTTTTTACCTTTGGGTTTTTTTTGGGGGGGTACTTTTTTATCCGTCGAAAATCCCCCTGTATGGGGGGGGGACACGCCCGACACATAACTCCAGCTTCGTCCGCTCCGTCCCAGAGCGTCCCGGAACGCTGCCGGAGCGTCCTGATTATAGCTCTGCCCCGGCTTCGTCCTGGCTTCGCCCCGACCTCGCCCTCTATAGCTTCTCGGGCCGGGCGAAAGGGGGGGATTGGGAAAGGGGGGGTTACGAAATCTGCTGCATGCAGCTGGTTTCGGCCCCACCGAGGGGCCCATTCCTCGATACATGGGGGCCTCTCGTCGCCGGGAGGCGCCGGGGAAATCAGCTACGTGAGCTGATTCTCAAACCCCCCCTTTGCTATCCCCCCCTTTCGCCCGACCCGAGCTTCGTCCGCTCCGTCCCCGAGCGTCCCCGGCTCCGTCTCGGCCTCCCCGCCAGGCGAGCGCCACGGCCTCGCCGCAGCGCCCCCGGCGGGTCTGCGCCGGCGGCTGCGGGGGCCCCGGCGCGGAGGCCCCCGACCCCTTCGAGGGGTTCTGAGGGCCCGCCCCGCGGGGCCGCCGTCGGGGAGGGGGGACAGCACAGACACAGTGACTCTCGACTCTCGAGTGGGGCCTGTCCTTAGTGGGCCCTGGAAACGACAGGGCCGTTTTTTTACCGGTTCCGTTTTGCCGTTTTTTTGCCGGTTCCGACGCCGTTTTTTTTACCGGTTCCGTCGCCGTTTTTTGACCGGTTCCGGCTCCGGTTCCAATCCTGGAGCCGTTTTTTTGCCGTTTCCGGTCGCCGTTTTTGTTGCCGTCGTCGGGGAGGGGGGGGACAGCACAGACACAGTGACGCTCGAGTGGGGCCTGTCCCCCTGCGGGCGGAATTTTGGCGAAAAATCAAGTACCCCCCAAACAAAGATACTCCAAAATGGTCGAAGAATGATCAACACATCGTCCCCTGACCACTTTTGGACCATTCTTGAATGTCTTGAAGGACCAGTCTTGAATGGTCCAAAAGTGGTCAGGGGACGATATGTTGATCATTATTCGACCATGTTGGAGTATTTTTGTTGGGGGGGTATACTTTGATTTGTCGTCCAACTTCCGCCTGTAGGGGGACATGCCCGACCCAAAATTGCTCGCCGATCCCCAGGACAAGGTGGAAAAATATGGGAAGCGGAGGGGAAGACGAAGCTCTAGAAGGTGTGGAGAAATCGGGGGGGAGTCCTGGGAGGAGTGTCTGTTTATTTGTGTGTCCCTGGGCCCCGTCGCCATCGTCAGGGGTGGGATGCAACGACCCCCAATCGTCCGATCGGAGGTGTGTTCGGCTCCCTGACATTCTCGATCTTAGGGTGCCTCGATGCGCTCTCGTTTTGACACGCGACGCGCCCCGCGTTCAAGACGCCAGTTCCAATACGTTGCGTGTTGGCTCAGCGTATTGGCCCACGTTTTGGCAGACGTATCGCGTCGGGCCTACGTGTTCAGCCTGCGCGTGGCGCTCCCTGCCAACACGCCACGCGCTGCGTGCTGCGCATCGGGGCAGCTGAGCGCCCGATCGGTGTTCGAAGGCTATCTCGGAGGTCTTCGGTTCCCCGGCATCGTCGATCGAAGCCCGGTGCGGCTTCCAGCAGCTGCGCCTCGCCGAGAGCGTTCCAGGGGGTGCCGGACGCGTCCCGAGCGGCCGTCTGCGGCCCGAAAGCCGTATGCTAAGGGGGGCAGCTGAGCGCCCGATCGGTGTTCGAAGGTTATCTCGGTTCGGTTCCCCGGCATCGTCGATCGAAGCCCGGTGCGGCTTCCAGCGGCTGCGCCTCGTCGAGCGCGCTCCCAGGGGGTGCCGGGCGCGTCCCGCGCGGCCGCCGGACGCCCGAGCTGCGGCCCGGAGGCCGCGTGCGAAGGGGGGGGCGCCTCGGCCCCCAGCGGCGCCCACGGAGCGCCGCCGGGGGCCGGACGGCCCCTTCCCCGCTCGGGGCCGTGCGCACGCGCTTTCGGGGGTCGGGGGTGGACAGACCTCCTACCCTGACACGCCGATTAAGGAATAGGCCGTTCTCGGTTCGCGAGAGGGCGTCGCGGCCGTCATTTTTGCGGGTCCGGGTCCGTCGGTTTCGGTCCCAGGCCGTTTCCACTAAGGGGAGGTCTACTAAAGGGAGGTTTGTCCACCGCCGAGGGGGTTATCGCTGATCTATCGGCGTTTGGGTCGTCAGTCCGGCTCCCCCCATGCGTTCAGCCCTGCCCAGGGGCCATACGAGGGAGGACCCGCCCTTGCGCCCCACCGCGAATCTGAGTCACTCCTTCCTCACTTTCTGGCGGAAGGAGGGGGGGAGGGAGGGAGGGAGGGAGGGAGGGACGGAGGAGGGGGAGCGGAAGGAGGGGGGGAGGGATGTATCGCCGATACGAGCTCGATTTTTCCCCCCCTGAGTTCGAGGGATTCTGAGGGCCCCGCCTGAGTTGGAGGCCTTTTGGGGGCGGCCTGCTGGCGGCCTCGGCGTGCCCTCGACGGAGAGGCAGGGGGGCGGGGAGGAGGAAAGAGAAGGAGGAGGAGGAGGAGGAGAAGGAAGGAAGGAAGGAAGGAAGGAAGGGAGGGAGGGAGGAATGAAAGAAGGGAGGGAGGGAGGGCGAGGGAGGGCGAGGGAGGGCGGAGGAGGGCGAAGGAGGGCGGAGGAGGGGGAGGAGGAGGATGAGGAGGAGGAGGAGGGAGGAAGAGGAGGAGGAGGAGGAGAAGGAGGAGGAGGAGGAGCAGCAGGAGGAGCAGGAGGAGCAGGAGGAGCAGGAGCAGGAGCAGGAGGAGGAGGAGGAGGAGGAGGAGGAGGAGGAGGAGGGAGGAGTGAGGAGGAGGAGATCTCGAACTCAGGGGGGGGAGCATGTGCCCTGAGCTGGTCCCCACCTGCCCTGAGCTCGATGTTCTCCCCCCTGGGTTCGATAGGTTCGGCGGGCCCGACCCTCGGGATTCCAAGTGGTCGGCATCACCACATTTATCGGCGGTTGCTTCAACAGGAGGAATAGGATACCGATGTCGGCGATGAGGGTACACGCCAGTCGTCGAAAGTAGGCACCTTTGGATTCCCAGGTCCCAGCATACCCGCCTTCCTACTTCAAGAGTCGAGTGGTTGTCCCTCTTCCCTTCTCGGGGCTCGGGGGGCGGGCGGGAACTTCGTCTACTTCCAACGCCTCCCTACTTCATGGTTCTGCGTACTTCTTCCGACCGACGGGTAATGTTCGGGCTTCCGAGGCGGCTGGAAGGTTACCAACAACACCAGCGACCGCTGGTTTCGCCGACGGATGGTTTCGCCCAGCTGGTTTCGCCCGGCTGGTTTCGCCGCCCGGCGCAACCAGCTCCGTCGACAAAGTCAGCTCCGTCGGCGAAACCAGCTTCGTCGGCGAAACTGCCCGACCCGACCCGCCCGCTAGGGTCCGCCCGCCCGACCCGACCCGCCTGTTAGGGTTCGCGCGCGCTCGGTCGAGCGCGCACCACACTTTAATGTCCCGCCCGCCCGACCCGACCCGCCCAATAGGGCCCGCCCGCCCGGCCCGACTCCCCCGTTAAGGTTCGCGCGTGCTCGGTCGAGCGCGCCTCACAGTTTGATGTCCCTCCCGCCCGACCCGACCCGCCCGTCATGGTGTGCCCGCCCGATCCGACCCGACCCGCCCGCTAGGGTCCGCCCGCCCGACCCGCTCCGCCCGCTAGGGTCCGCCCGCCCGACCCGACCAGACCAGACCCGCCCGCTAGGAGGGTCCGCCCGCCTGACCCGAGCCGCCCGCTGGGGTTCGCCCGTGCTCTGTCGAGCGCGCCCCACACTTTAATGTCCCGCCCGCCCGACCCGACGGACCCGCCTTTGAGTGTCCGCCCGCCCACTCCGACCCGACCCGCCCGCTAGGGTCCGCCCACCCGACCCGCCCCGCCCGTTAGGGTTTGTTCATTTTCGGTCGAGCGCGCCCCACACTTTCATGTCCCGCCCGCCCGACCCGACCCGACGGTGAGGGTCTGCTCGCCCACCCCGACCCGGGTCTGCCCGCCCGACCCGACCCGCCCGTTAGGATTCGCCCGTGCTCGGTCGAGCATGCCCCCACACTTTAATGTCCCGCCCGCCCGACCCGACCCGCCCGCTAGGGTCCGCCCGACCCGACCCGACCCGCCCGCTAGGGCTCGCCCCGTTAGGGTTCGCGCGTTTTCGGTCGAGCGCGCCCGCCCACCAGACCCGACCCGACCCGCCCGCCAGTCTCCGCTCGCCTGACCCGACCGGCCTGTTAAGGTTCGCCCGTGCTCGGTCGAGCGCGCCCCACACTTTCATGTCCCGCCCGCCCGACCCGACCCGCCCGCTAGGGTCCGCCCGCCCGCGGCGACGACGGCGTCGGCGAAACCAGCGCCGGCGAAACCAGCGCTGGAGAAACCAGCAGCCGCCAGCGAAACCAGCGCCGGCGAAACCAGCGCTGGCGAAACCAGCGCCGTCGAAACCAGCTCAATGCCCCAGCACCGACATCCAGGGTCCGCTTCCCCCAGTGGAAGCAGCCATTCGCAAGCAGGCGCTGCGTGGCGTGGCAGCGCATAACTGCGAACGCGTTGCCGCATGATTTGCTGCAGGAGTGCATGCATGCATGTGTGGGTGGCGCCAGCCGTAGCCGCGGAGGCCCGAATCTAGAGGTCATTCGACACGTTCTGGAGCCAGGCAGAGGAAAACAACTGCGCAACCACAACTTGAGAGTGCTTTGGTTTCACTGTTTTGGTGTTGTCTAGGCCTCCCAGATGGGGTCCGAGTCGATGGGGCTGGAGGATCGCGCCGCATCGCCGACGCATCGGCGGTGCGACTCGATGTGGAGCCCGATTTTCTCCACGCCGGCGTCGCCGATGCACCGCCGACGTCGTCCATGCATCGCCGATGCATTGGCGATGCATCGCCGATACGTCGCCGACACATCGGCGATGCGGTGCAATCCTCCGACCCCATCTACTCGGACCCCATCTTTCGCGAAGAAAAACAAAAGCACAAAAACATAAACTGTTGGCGCTCCGCGCGGAGCGCCCAAAGTTTATGTTCATGTGGCTTTCTCTTCTAATCTTGGAGGCCCGTATGGTGGTACCCAGGTTTCCAATCCTCCAGCTCTTTTCCGTAGGCTCCGCGCGCGCCGCGCGGCGGTGGAGGCGGGCCGACGGACCCCGCCAAGGGTCAGGGAAAAAGGGCCTTCGCCCGAGCGCGCCCCCGGTGCTGCGTCCTCGCTTGGAGCCCGCGATGCCCCGCGCCGCTCTTCCCGCGTCTCCCTCCCCTCGGTCAAGCAGTGGCGAAGCGTCCCTGTTCGCCTAGAGGCCCACCAAAGAATGTTCTAATCATCTTTTGTGGTCTGCGCGAAAGGTTCTTAGAGCAGTTCTGGCTGAGTCTGTCCTGTTTTAGCACGTCGGGGTTACTGTCTAAAAGCATTGGTTTTGTTCTTCGAGCATTTGGGGGTCCTCAGAACATGTCGTGGTAGGCCTATAGGAATGCTGGGACGGTCGGTCCCTGCTCAACTCGGCGTCTCGCTCACCCTCTCTCGCTCTTTCTAACTCCTCCCAGTCATCTCCTCTTCATC